TTATCTACCTCATTACCAAAATCAGAAACCCAGTAGTCACGCTGTACCCTTCCCTTTCTCTTACTCCTACATCAATTAATCAAGAAGTCCCACCAATATCCCTTCCTGTGGAAGACATGCCCAACTTCTTCTAGGTCACCGTGTTTTCACAGGATCATTCGTGTCTTTCAGAAAACTACCTCTCCCCATTCCAATGATATTTCAGAAAACTGCTACTAAGCATGAAGACCCAAAGCTATGACAAGTGGACATTTCCTCTGTGCATTTGAATGTAACAGAAGAATATGAGACGATGATGATGATGATGATGATGATGATGATGATGATGATGATGATAATGGAGGAGGAAGAGGAGGAGGAAAAGGCTGGAGATCATTTGCTTCCATACTATCACCCTAGAGAAACCATGGGCCATTCCCGCCACCAATATCCCCTCTGCCTAACTCCTGTCTGCTCCAAACCTGGCTTTTCAGGTGTGTCTTCAGTCCTGCGAGTTCCCATCAATACTGCTAATACATTCTCTTTGGGTTAGTTGTTATACAGAGTTGGTTTCTGTTGCTTGCAACCCAGGAACTCTGAGAATTCTGCTAAACCAGTGGTTCTCAACCTTCTGGCCCTTTAAATACAGTTCCTCATGTGGTGACCCAACCATAAAATTATTTTCGTTGCCACTTCCTAACTGTAATGTTGTTACTGTTATGAATCGTAATGTAAATATCTGATATGCAGGATGGTCTTAGGCGACCCCTGTGAAAGGGTCGTTCGACCGCCAAAGGGGTCGCAACCCACAGGTTGAGAACCGCTGTCCTAAACATTTGCCCAATCCATCTCTTCTGCTCCACAACCCCACATGGCCTCAGCACTAGCCACCTCACTGGTATCCACTCCGCTGGTCTTTCTGCCAAATCCATTCTCTACAAGGTCCCCAACAAGTCTTACCTAAAATTCAAATCTGACCATGCTGCCCATCCCCTAATGGAGAAATGTGGAACCTCCAGTCCGGACCAAAGACCTTCATCTATCGTTCCAGCTTCTTCTCTCGTCCCTCTCTGCCTCGACCTGTAAGCTCCAGGAACTCCAAACTACCAGCTGCTTCCCCATATTTTCTATATGTTTTCTTACCTCTCTCCCTGTGCCTACCCTAGGTCCTCTGCATGGAATACCTGTTTAAGGCTGACCATTTCCTAATCACCCTTTAAGCTCAGCTCAGACATCACTTCCATCCTAGGCTAGCTGCCTGCTGTCTCTGACCACAAATGTGTGCCCCTGATACATGGTCTGCCTTCCCCACTCACCTGTGAATTTTTTATGACAGGTTCTGTGTCATATTTATCTCAATATCCATACCACATACAGGCACTGAATACATTTTGTTAGATAATATATTAACTAACCACTTATTAGGTGGTTTTGTTCAAGTGATTAAAATCACAATTCACTTTGAAAACCGCAGGTCGGGTGCAACCACTGTGTTTTCATTTCCTGTCTTTCTAACCACATTCAGAATTACCCTGAAACTGAGTGACGGAGGGATCAGTCTAGGCCAGTGATGGCGAACCTATGACACGCGTGTCAGAGGTGACATGCGAACTCATTTTTTTTGGTTGATTTTTCTTTGTTAAATGGCATTTAAATATGTAAAATAAATACCAAAAATATAAATCTTTGTTTTACTATGGTGGCAAAGATCAAAAGATTTCTATATGTGACACGGCACCAGAGTTAAGTTAGGGTTTTTCAAAATGCTGACACGCCGAGCTCAAAAGGTTCGCCATCACTGGTCTAGGCTCTGCCCATCTGGAAGACGGTTTCATCGCTTGAGAGCCAGGACGCATGGTTTTAAACAGGAATCGGAGGCTATTGTTCACTGCGCTGCCTTTTCATCATAAAAGGATATTTCAGACACTCTGACTACATTCGTTTAAGCCTCCAGTGAAGGGCAAAGATGCCACCCACCCCACACTAATGTGAGCACGCTGACAGGGAGCATGCAAACAAACAAGCAGCCCACAATCAAGCCAAACCTGGCCTTGCCCCTCCCGAGGATGGGATATGGGCCCCCTGGGAGGGCAGGGCCTTCTCCCCTGACCACTGCACAAAAGTCCAGCTCCTCCGGAGCTTGAGCTTCCTCATCAGGAATGAGGAGTGAGACGCCGACCTAGACCCACTCAGCAAACACAGACAGGGCACCCACTATGGGTCTGACTCTGAAAGAGGCACCAAAGGTCAAAGGTGACTAAACTACCCTTCGGATCATAAGCAGCAGTGTGGAAAGAGCCGGGGACTTAGAATCAGAAAGCACAGCCTCTTAGAATCAAACCATAACCCTGCCTCTTCCCCACAAGCTACGCAGCCCCAGGAAAGTTATTGACCCTAACCTCCCTTAGCATCCCTTTCCAAATATGAAAAATAAGGATTATGTGAGCTCAGATGTGTGACAGCGTCTTGCAGCAAGCAGAGGCTCCGAACTCTGAATCAAGAGCGTCTTCAAAGACCTGAAACGTCCAAAGTTCTGTCAGGGCCAGGAGAATTCCTCTCAGCATAAGAACCAGCAGCCTTTCTGCCACCCAAGAGTACGGCATGGGCGGCCGGTGGTAGACTGGGCTGGCAAAGCCTGGACTGCAGGCATAAGTACCAGTGCACAGAAACCTCTCTCGCTGGCTGGTGGCCTCAGAGCACACTGTCCACTCTCTACGGAAAAGAAATTTCTAGACTGGAGCCCAACATTCCCCAGTATTAAGCACTAATCAGAGTCCTCCCACCGTGGAGATAAATGTTCAAGTCAACCAAGCAGCTGTCATACACACACACACCCTCATTGCACGCCAATCCCCACCTCCCCATAGAGTGGTGTGTCTTCATCAAGTCATGCCCATCAGTTTCTCCACAGAACCAGCTGAATTAAATTATTTTCTTTCTAAAAAGCCCTTACTCTGCACCCTCACCGAAGGCCTGATTACTGGCAATAGTTACATTCAGAGTTCAGAGAAAGGTGATCATTCTAAGAGGATTTAGCGCTCCTCCAATAAAATAGCCTAGGGATTGGGTTTCCTACGAGTTTTGTTTTCATTACTCCACTTGGATATATCCAGTAACCAATGTCAGTGTCCTAGACCAGCTTCTCAGTAAACATCGCTGTTCTCCAGGCAGCTGGTGCCATGAAAAACCCACAGGTCTGCAGTGAACTCAGAAAGGAGGGCCCTGCTGCTGGGGGAACGCAGCCCAGAGCATCCACAGGGCACTCATCAGGGCCACCACCAACTGCCTAAGGGACTAGCAGCGCTGGCTGTGCAGCTCTGGAGCCCAGGAATGAATCCTGACTGGGTGCCACAACAGAGCTGCAAGCACGGGGGAGGGAGGTCTCACTTGCCATCTAGGCTTCAGTCAAAGCCTCAGATAAATAAAATTGGGACTCCATCAACACTCCCCCTTCCGCCCCCCCCCACCCCCCCCCCCCCCAAAAAAAAAAATGAAATTAAAACCACCAGCAAGCCAAGGAGAGCTGCAGTCAGGCTTTGATTTGAAAAAAAAAAAAAAAAAAACCTGTCCTGCTCTAGCCTCCAGACAATTTCACACCAAATGGCTTTAAAACCCTTTCCTAAGCTCTGATGCCTGACTTGAAAAAGAGTTTTTGGGTTTTTTTTTTACTAAAAGTCAGCAGTTAAAGAAGCAAAATGTGGAAATCCTGAGAGTTAAGAGTGTTCCCATTTGCACAGACGCTGGGTGTGTCTGGACATACAGAGGGCAGAAATTTCACCCTTCTTCTAGAGGTCACCTCGCCTCTATCACGAGGCCGCTCTTATCCACTCTAGAATGTAATTATTATTACAACTAATCAGACTTCGCGACCCAACATAGCCACACACAGTCAGCAAGGAGCCCCTATTCCCTGAGCCCAGGTTAAGTCTCCTTTTTCTACGAACACACAGGCTCAGGGGCTGGGATGGCGCCCCAGTCTTGGCACCCAAGGAACTGCAGTCGCCGTTTCACCTGGGCTGAGAACCGGAACCTGGGCAATGGCAAGGAAGGCGCCTTCTCCACACACTCCTCCCCAAACCAAAAAGAGCTGTGCAAGCGCCGCGGCGGGCCGGGCCGGGGCAGAGGGCGCACGTGGCTGGCGCCTCCGAGGCGAAACGAATCAATGAACCCTGGATCCATCCTCCGCACCACCGTCCCGCAGGTGAGAGGCGGTCCCGGCTCGCCCTGGCCCCCAGCCCGGCCCCAGAACTACCTGCTGCTGCCTGGGAGCCCTCGGGCCAAGTCTGAGGAAGTTCACTCCCTGTGGCGCCAGTCCGGGGAGGCTGGGACACGAGTTTCAGCCCAAACTACCCTGAGAGCCGGCGCCTGCCGCTGCCAAGGCGCCGGACCCACGGAGCTGCTTGGTGCCCAGGGGCCAGCTGAGCGTCAGCAGGTCCCGGTCTGGGCTGCCAGAGGCCTCCCCGGTTATCCTGAACTCTGCAGGGCCAGGACCCGATCCGGTGGAGGCGAGGATCGTGCGCCCAGGCAGGGGAGCAGCCCGCGCTAGGAGCTGGCGGTGGAGGGAAGCCTGCCCCCCGCCTCCCGCTTCGCCCGATCGCCATGACTCCCGGCTTCCCGGAGACCTGGAAGCCGTGCTGCCCTCCCACCTGGGCTGCGGTTCGGATTCCCTGCCCTCCCGTCCCTTCCCTCCGCCCTGGCGCCTGGCCCCCAACCTACAGCCCGCACAGTTCCGGGACACCCAAGTGGGACACCCATGGCCCTTGCCCAGCCCCACGCCCCCGGGCGGCGTCCAGGAGCCACCCTAAGGGAGAGCAAGGTGGCTCCGGCGAGCTGGGATGCCCTCTGTCCGGGCCAACAGGTATGGAGGCATTGTCGGCCACCTGCCCGCCCGCCCGCCCGCCCACTTCGGGGAGAGGGGCCCGAGCCAGCCTCGGGCTTTGCGCACCGTGGAGAGGGGTGAGATCGCGGGGAAGGCGAGGGCAGGAGACGAGGAGAGGGGGCGAACCGGTGGTGGCACTCACCTCTCGCAGGGCCAGGGCCGGCCGCGCGGGCCCACAGCCCTGAAGCCCGGGTTCCGAGGCGCGGAGGCGCGGAGCTGGGGGCGCCCTCAGAGGCCGGCAGGGAGGGGGCGGCGCGGATGCGGGCGCCGGCGGGCAGCTCTGGCCGCACACTCACACACCCAGCCCGCGGCCGCGTCCCCGCGCCGGCATCCTCGCTGCCGCCGGCTCCCACGGCGCCCCAGGCCGCTCCCCAAGCGCGCGCCGAGCCAGCGCGAGTCCCTCGTCGGCTTGGAGCACTATGTGGGCGCGTGCCTCCCTGTCCTTGTCTTCGGCTCCCGTCTGGGGCTCGCGTGCCCCGCACCCTGCACGGCGCGCTCCTCTACCCCTCCCGCTCCCGCTGGCCGTGCCGAGCCCCAGCGCGCGGGCTCAGCCCATGTGCGCGGCTGCCTCGCAGCGCCCGGGAGCCCAGTGGCCGAGGCCCCGCCGGAGTTGCGCGCCCTAGAAACTCCATGCAGCTTCGGCCTCCTCCCCAGCTCCTCCCCGGCGAGCCCCCCGGGGCCTGGAGGCCGCCCGCAGCGCCCGCCCCACTCTGCCTTAGCGCGCGCCGGGAGCCGGTATTCAGGGCTCGGCTCGGCAGCCCGCGCCGCGCTTCCCCGAGGGTCGGGGAGCCCCCACCCCCACTCCGTCGCCTTGCCAATAACCAAGCTCCCTTGGTATCCAGGCAGCGCAACCTGAGGAACGCCTTGGCGCGCGCGCACTCACACTCGCGCGCACACACAGGCACACGCGGGGGGCGAGCTGGAGCTTGGCAGACGGTCCTCCTTCCTTTCCTACCCAAAGAAGCTGCCCACGTTCACTCTGGCAAACTGCTGTTCTGTATTGGACGACTCACCCCGGCGCCCCCCACCTTAACTAATTCATCCCCGGTGCCCACACCCCTGGGCCACAATCACACCTGCGTCTTCGCCGGGGCTGCAGAAATGGGTGGAGGAGGTGGAAGCTCTTCACTTGCCCACCCCTACTCTCTAGGGAGGCACATTTTGGGCCACTGCCCGTCAACCCCCAAGGTCAAATAGATTTGAGGAGAGGAAGAGGGCGCTTGGACACAGGTGTAAGCTAGAAATCTTAAAGACTATCTGAAACCTGCAGGGCGCTGACCTCTGTCAAGTCCATTCGCAGACAGACCCCTTTTTCTCTTCTGCCCCATGCCTGACAGACCACATAGTTGCTTAAGAGTCTCCTGTCACCTTCCCTGGTCCCCACCCGCCTACCTCTCATGTGCCCAGAAGCTGACAGAATGCACCGTGAAGCGAAGGTTTGTGTTGCAAGCAAAAATGAAAATAAAAAATAGCAAGATGGTTCTCAGACTGTCCCACAGACAAAGTCAGAAGCCTGCCCGTTCCTTTCCGCTCCTCCCTGAGAGTGCCAAGGCAGAAGGGACACCCACCTGGCGGGAGCAGGATGCTCTTTCCTTACAGCACTCTTCTTTCCAGGGTCTCCCGTGTCTTGCCTGCTCTAGGTGGCAGAATGACTGCTCACTAGCTCAAACGACTCCAATTCGCAGAATCAAAGAAAAGCTACAGCATAACAATTCTTACACCAATCGGAAACAAAGCAGGCAATACTGCCAGAGCATCTCATGCAAACAGCTCAGCCATCACCTCTCTGCCGGCTGGTATAGCTGCCGAGGAAGTGTGGACACTGGCACTGCCAGCCAGTGGCACAAGTTCATCAGCGTCCCCTCCTTATCTGTGCTCCCTGGCGTGCAGCCTGCGAGTGGTTCCTGAGTCCCCACAGTACTCCTTGTATCACACCTTTGTCATTTAGTATTTGCTACCCTGTATTACCATTTTTTCTTGTACCAGCCCTACTCCCCAAGCTATCTCATAACCTTTAGAGCCACTGGCTGAGTCTTATGGACATAGTTCAGAGATGTGCATAGAAGGCATTTCCAGGGGATTCCATGAAGGATCGTGGGCAGATGAATTGAGAGAGTGTGGGGTCTCAGGATGATCTTTCCCTCTGATCTCTTAGTTTGGATGAAAGCTGCATCTTCTAACAATCTGTTGCTTATGTACGCAATTGTTTGTTGCTTTCTAGATGGCAACTGTGTCACCAAAGCCCCTTGCAAGTCTATATACACACATGGTAGAATGTGAAGGTCACCATTTAACCAGGGTGGGACACATCTGGCAGAAGCTCTCTGCTCTCACTTACTGCCTGTGTGAATTTGGGCAAGTTGTTTGTTCTCTCTAAATCTCAACTGTCCTCATCTGTAAAATGGGAATAATTATGGTATTTAACCCCCATGGTTGTTGTGATTCAATGTGACAACATGAATAGCAGTTCCCTCAGCTAACTCAGTTCCAGGCATAATGTAAGCTTTCAATAAATGTTGGCATTATTGGTGAGTAATTGACACATATCAAAGAGATTACCTGGTGGGGGGGAGAGGAGAGATCAAGGATACTAAGCTCAAGAGACCTCAAGAACTAGAGAAGCCAGGTGTCAAACTTTGGTGAGAATGCCAAATCGAGTTTCCTGGTCCTCACTAAATATGATGATTTTGAGACTTCCATGTTAAGGGAGTTGCAGGTTCACAGGCCCTGGTATTCTTGCTCTAACTTTTATTCTTTGTTCAATATACATTAATTAAGGGTCAAAATGCGTCAACTCCTTCTTATTAAAATGCCAAAGACAATCTTGTACCAATTGTAAGAATGGAAGCTCAAGTCACCATAAAACAAAATGGGGGGGGGGGTCCCTTTATTATACATTTGCAGCTGGATTTAGCATAAGTAGTCTCTCCAACCCAGAAAAATTCAGCCCTCCATAAGACAGCTCGAAATTAACTTTGTTCAACCACCTGCCTCTAGCTTTGGGACTCAGAGGTACACAAATCAGACACCTGGACAAATTGCTACCTTACCACACAGTAATAATTTTCTGGCATGGCCAAAGTCATTCCTGCCTCTACCTCTTCTGTTCCCCTAACCTTCATTCTTTTGTTTTGCCTTCAGTAAATAAATCTACTTCCAAGACAGCCAAGGGTAGAGAGTGATGAAGTGGTGTGTTCTATTCTGAACAGAAATAAGCAGAAAAAGAAAAATCATGTGGGCAAGCATATGTGAGAGAGTAACGTTTTTCATGTAGCCCACTAAATATAGAGTATAGAATGCTTTGAGTTCTTTCCAATACACATTCTCTACTTTGAGACAAGAGGTTTAGAATGTTGTTAGGCAGCAACAGATAACCAGAACAAATTTTGGTATCTGGAAGTAGAGTGCTGCTGTAACAAAAACTTCAAACATGGTTTTGGGATTGGACACTGGGGAAAAGCTAGAAGTTTCTTGAAAGCTGCAAGATAACAGAAGACGCTTGGCGGCGACTTGAAGAACACCAAGAAAACTGCTCATGGAAGCTGGAGAAAAGAGCACTGAGTTACATACTGGTAGGACAGTTAGCAAAACTGTTGCCTCTCATTATGGGACAAATGAAAAGGATACCACATGAACTCATGGATCTGACGGGAGAGTTCCAGGATGAATGAGAAAGTGCAAGCTGTGTTTTTCTAGTTGCCTGTGCTAAAAGACAAGTGGAGATGTGTTAAAGAAGAAACTACTTTGTTTTTTTTTTAGTACAACTTAGAAGAAATAGAGAAAACCAGGACTTTATGGGTTAGAAAGGATAACTTTGTCATTCTAGTATCTCCAAGCAAAACCTTCATACCCAGAGCAATAACATGGGATCTCTGTGTAAAGATGAAGTTATCGGATCCTTTGTTAAGACTTCACACATCTTTGAGAGCATCCCCAAAAGGGCTTCCAAGGAATTTAGAGACATAGTCCCTCAGCAGCCTCATGAGGTCTAAAGATACAGAAGGGCCTATTCTTACAGAGATTTGTAAGTATGGCTTTTGTCTAATGGGGGGATTATAATTTGAATCACAGGCTGCCTTCAATGTTTTTAAAGAAAGTATACTAGTTTGGGAGTGAAGGGACAGAGACAAAATGAAAGGAGGCCTTCGAATCCCCAATCTAAGAGGCAATAAACAGGCTGCGAACAGGGGCCATTTCTAATGGGAGAGGGTGAATGACTCAGATAGTGGAACCAAGAGCCCAAAAGGTGATGTCAAGAATCATTCCCAAGAAGCAGGACTAGGCCCTAATTAAGGAACTGATGACATTTCCAAGATGGATTTCAAAATTGCTATGAACCAGTGACTGCTACAAGAAATACCACCCATACCCTCCATTACTGAATAGGGTGTCTATTATAGTTATTACTAGGGGCCCGGTGCACGAAATTCGTGCACTGGGTGGGGGGGGGGTGTCCCTCAGCCCAGCCTGCCCCCTCTCACATACTGGGAGCCCTCAGGCGGTGACCCCCATCACCCTCCAATCGCAGGATCGGTCCCTTGCCCAGGCCTGACGCCTCTGACAGGGGAGGCGTCAGGCCTGGGCAGGGGACCCTCATTTCCCCCCATCACTGGTTCTGCCCCCAGCCCAGGCCTGATGCCTCTGGCCCAGGCGTCAGGCCTGGGCAGGGGACCCCCAGACCCCTCCGATTGCTGGCTCTGCCCCTTGCCCAGGCCTGATGCCTCGGCCAGAGGCGTCGACCCCCATCACCCTCCGATCGCCTGATCGGGCCCTTGCCCAGGCCTAACGCCTCCACCAGAGGTGTCAGGCTTGGACAGGGGACCCCCATTTCCCCCTGATCACTGGCTCTGACCCCCGCCCAGGCCTGAGGCCTCTGGCCCAGGAATCATGCCTGGGCAGGGGACCCCCGTCTCCCTCTGATCGCTTGCTCCACCCCCCGCCCAAGCCTGGCACCTCTGACCCAGGCTTCAGGTCTGGGCAGGGGGACCATCATATCCCCCCAACCCCCGGCTCCGCCCCCCGCCCAGGCCTGATGCCTCGGCCAGAGGAGTTGACCCTCATCACCCTCCGATCACCAATCACCGGATCGGCCCCTTGACCAGGCCTGAGGCCTCTGGCCTAGGAGTCCGGCCCAGGCAGCAGGGACCCGCAGCTGCAGCGGCCCCACAATCGTGGGCTTCGCTTTAGGCCCAGGCAAGGGACCCCTAGCTCCCGGGACTGCCAGCTTCGACCGTGCCCAGCTCCCATCGCTGGCTCCACCCCTACTTCCTGCTATCACTGGCCATGGCGGCAAAGGCACCTGATTCTCCGATCATTCCCCAGGGCCGCCTTTGCCCTGCCCCCCAGCTCTTAGCTCCCCCCTGGGTTTCCGATCACTGTCAGTGGCAGGGGCTTCTTCCTGCTTTCCCTTTCGCCTCCCTGCATTGTGCCTACATATGCAAATTAACCGCCATCTTGTTGGCAGTTAACTGCCAATCTTAGTTGGCAGTTAATTTGCATATAGCCCTGATTAGCCAATGAAAAGGGTAGCGTCGTACGCCAATTACCATTTTTCTCTTTTATTAGTGTAGATATTTTTGCCTCACTGGTATATGTTTGGTGTTTAGGGAAGAGGGGGGAGGAGATAAATCATCTCTTTAGCTTACAGACCTTCATATTGAGAAGAATTTTACCCTGGGAGACTCATCCACTGAACCTGCTTTAGATGAGCAGATCCAGGACCTCAAGCCTGAGCCTGGTTCCACAAGGAGATGAGAATTTTTGAGGTTTTGGGGTGTTTCTGTGTTTGTTTTCATGTTAGAAGAATGTAAATAACTTTTTTACTATGATGAATTA